GACAGCAGTGATACTGCTTTTTTACCTTTACCTACCCTCCATCTCCGCTTCATTTCAGGTAAATACATTGGTGTCCCATTGCAGGGCACTTTAATCCAGGTTGGCGTTTCCCAGATGCAGCCCTCTGTTACAAATCCCTAAAGGTGAAGCTGAAGCGCTCTCTGTTTTCCATACATTAGCCCTGTGCGTTTTACTGTAAAATAAATTTATAAGCACCTGCTATTGGCAGCAAATAGTAAGATCTGGGGTGGACAGTGGGAGTGTGATTCCCTGTCAGGTGTGTGCCATGTGAAGTGCTGCAGGGCCATGCGCACACCTGTGGGGCACTCCCTCTCTTGGCTCTCCAGGGCTGAGCGCAGGTCCAGACAAGCCTGCAAGTAGAGGGACAGACTGTACTGCAGAGAACCGGACCGGACTGGTGCTGGGAGAGGAGGAGGAGTCGATCTGGGGCTGGGTGGAATAGTACAAGCTGAGAGGCAAGAGAACAGCAGATGTACAGGGACAGAGGTACAATTCCTCTGGCACTGTGAGAAATACTCTGGGATTAGAGAAACATTCTTCCCTGAAATAAGACTTCTAATCCCAGAATTCCCACAACTGCCACAATCACAACAGCTCCCAGTCCTACTGGGAGAGGTAAGATGGAGGGAACTCGGATGAGCTGGCAGCCCAGTACGCGGTTTCCTGTCATAGCCTGAGGAGCAGCGAATGACCCACTCAAATAATGTTCGTAATGTAAAAGTCTGTAAATATTTTGTTAATTGTCACTGCTTTGGCCACACTGTAATTCATCAGCCATGGCAGTAGAGCTGTTTGAATCCTGATATATACAGTACAGCAGCTCGAGGTCAGAGGGCTCCTCAGGAATGTAGTGAGAGAGGGGGAGGGGCTGACCTCAGCCCCTCCTGCTTCATCTTCCTCTGTTCTAGGCAGGGCTCCAGCTCCTGGGTGACCTGCCAGGTCAGCCTGTTCGCAGCATTGAGCAGCCACAGGGCTGGACTCTGTGCAACCTCTTGGACCCCTGCTGTTCACAGCCAATTAGGCAGCCATGTCTGTTGGTTCATATTGAGGTGCACATGAATGAGACTGCTGGAAAAATCCAGGGTGCCTGGGCCCTGCGGGGGGACACGTTCAGACAACACGCCCGGACAGGTCACACCTCTGTCGCCTGCAGCTGTGGACAGTAGTGGGGACTGCAGGCGGTCGTCTGGGTCTGTTCAAGAGTGCTGCGTCTTTCAGGGAAACCTGGACTGGGTCAAGTTGCTGTGCATTGGGAGTCTGCAGTCTGGTTCTGTCTCATTGTCCTCACTGGGTTGTAAAGAGATGAAAGAACCCGCACTGACTGGCAGCTTTTACCTGTTGGGACTCATTGTGTTTAGTAGGGATGATGTACTGACTGAGCTCTCTCCTCTCACACTCCCCCGAATTCACACACTGACACACTACTGACTGGACTGGAGACACTGCTGTCCCTCTCCTCTCACACTCCTGACTGGACTGGAGACACTGCTGTCCCTCTCCTCTCACACTCCCCCTGAATTCACACACTGACACACTCCTGACTGGACTGGAGACACTGCT